CGTAGAGACGGCTACACATTCCCAGGCAGCAGCCCCGTGTATGGGTGTGATATCGCCCGTAGGTGGAGGAGGAGAGGGGAAGCGATGCAGCGCCGTTTTGGGAGCAGTCGCACGCGCCCGGACAGCTGACCCGTGGAGGAACACAGGAGCGGAGGGAGAACGATGCGGCCCCGTGTTGGGGGCTGTCACATGCTCCCGCGCGGCCGCCCTACGGAGGAATGAAGGAGCTCTGACTGAGGGAAGAAGAGAGATTGAGGGGGTGGGAAGGATGTGTCGACAGGAGGGGGGGAAAGATCAGGTAGGTAGGGGGCGATAAGATGGGGGATAGTGCTGATAGGAGGAAGGGGGAGGAGGCTATGACTAGGGGAGAAGGAGAGCAGCATCGTCCCGTGTTAGGGGCGATCACTCGTTCCCAAGCGGCTGTCTTACGGATGTGCCAAGCAGCTTCGGTGGGGGGAGAGAGGGGGGAGGCTATAGGCATGGGAGAGAAGGGGAAGGATCGAGTGAAGGGAGGGGTACGGCTGCAAGATGAGGGGGGGAGCAGCGTAGGTAGGGTAAGGATGAGCGTGTGTCCCCGACTAACCGGGGGAGAAGGAAGTGAGCTAATGCCGGCCTTCCTGTGGAAGAACGAAGTAGCTTTGACTGAGGGAAGAGGAGAGATAGAGAGCGTGGGAAAAGACGTCTCGACAGGAGGGGGGGGAAGGATCAGGTAGGCAGGGGGCGGCGGCCGCCAGACAGGATGGGTGGTAGTGCGGATAGGAGGAAGGGGGAGGAGGGTAGGATAAGAGGAGAAGGAGAGCAGCATCGCCCCGTTTTAGGGGCGATCACTCGCTCCCGCACGGCTGCCCTACGGACGTGCCAAGTAACTTCGGTGGGGAGAGAGAGGGGGGAGGGTATAGGCATGGGAGAGAAGGGGAAAGATCGAATGAAGGAAGAGGTACGGCTGCAGGATGAGGGGGGGGTAGCGTAGGCAGCCTAAGGATGGGCGTGTGCCAAGTAACTTCGGTAGGGAGAGAGAGGGGGGAGGTTATAGGTATGGGAGAGAAGGGGAAAGATCGAATGAAGGAAGAGGTACGGCTGCAGGATGAGGGGGGTAGCGTAAACACCGTAAGGATGAGCGTGTGCCCCCGTCCAACCGATGGGGGGGGAAGAAAGTGAGTTAGTGCCGGCATCCGGGGATTGTGGTTACGCACCCGCCGGGCAGGGAGGAGGAGAAACGTCAAGTAAGGTAGACCAAGGCGGCATACTTCGCAGGGTGTTTGGGGGGAGGAGGGGTGATGACAGCGTTAGTGTACAACGCGGCCCCACCCCCGATAGAGCCGGACGAGGCATTAACACGGGGTTGCAGGAAGGAAGGATGAGAGAGGGTGAGTGGGGTGATGATGCAAGGATAGGAACAGCTCAGGTAGACCAGCTGAATGGGGTGAGAATGGGATTTGAATGGCGATTGGCCGGTGGAGCGTTACGGTAACATCCACGGGCCGGGTGCAAAGATGGCTTGATTATAAGAAGCGCCCTCCCATTGACCTACATAGATCCCTGAAGATGCCGGCAGAGAGCCGGTGAAAGCTTGTATCATTATTTATTAAAAACTTTTAAAAGGTTTTTTACTTTTCCTGGTGCTCATTGTTGTTTGTACGCTTTTATCATGAACACACCCAGAAATCAATCGTCGGTTTTTAGAATTGTTTTTAAGATATATATATATATATATTCAAAGAATCACAAACTGTGAGACCACCAGGAGATTAAAAACTACAAAAAGTTTATTACCATTAAAACACCTAGCTTTCGCCGTCCTCCTGCCGGCTTCGTCAGGGTGGCTAGCAGTCAATGGGATGGCTGTTTTTATAGGAGTGGTGCCTTTTGCACCCGGCTCCTAGATCTCGTGACCGGGCCCAGATAGTCCTCCTGCAGGTATGCGCTGTTTTGGCGATTTTTACGCAGTCCCGGACGGGAGGCTGTCAGAAAGCCTCCTTCGGCAGCCGCCCAGCCACCGGAAGCCTAGATCTTTGGGGATATTAAATTTGTCTATTTAATTCTGTCAACCAATTCATTTTCCTGGATTTTGGTCATGTTTTTGACGAGCATTTTAGTTTTTTCTTTATTTATCTTTAAGCCAGCTATCTCCCCATATCTATTCAGTATTTCCATCAATCTTAGAATTCTTGATCTTCATGAAAAAAATATGATTTGCAAATGTACTATGTTGTGCATCATAAAAGCCCTTTTATGACTTTCAGTAATACTGTTTTGTTATTTATTTGTACTTCTGATTAGGAGGCTAAAACATATGAAGAACATTTTTACAATTTCATAGCCTTGATCATGGCAAGTTTCATGTATATAATTTCATGTGGGGTTACATATCTATGAATCCACTTAATTTTTCAGACAAAGTATATGAAATAAATATATTATCTTCCAAGGAAGACTTGAATTTTGTTTGTGTGTGTGTGTGTGTATTATTGGAAAAATAATAATAACTAAGAAGCTTTCTCAAACCAGTCATGTCTAGTACTTCTAATATTCTGCTGTATGGCTGGAGTTGGAACACTACATTAATAAACAACTCATGGAACACCCAAATGCCAGGCTCCTACTAGGGGGAGACTTTAATGCCAGATTGGGACCAGATGATTATACATTATTCATGAAACATCATCAATACCCACCATCGGAGGTCCCTATACAAACCAACGCCCTCCCTCATATGACTCTCTAAATATATACATGCTTAATTACATTACTTTGATTGTCTTTCCAACTGCTGGAAATAATTCTAATGATGGTGATAAACAATACTAGCACTTTTAAATATGAGGGTGACATATTTGTGACAGCTTGTGGGTTGGTTTCCAGATGTTTGGTTACCAGGCTAGATAACATCTTCAGCAAGTTTAGGAGATTTCAGTGTCAGTGTTCTTCTGTTTATAAGGCCTTTAGGTGTGGGTGTGTTAAGTGAGGAGTGTGATGGGTCTTGTGATGGGGGAGGCTACATCAGATCAGGCTCATTGGGAGATGAACTGCTGGTGGGGGGACTTGGAGGGGTTGGTTGGTTGAGGGTCAGTGCTGTCTCTGGTTGGCTGTGTGGTTGATTTGGATTCTGAGAGGTTCGTAGGCTGGTTGTAGGTCAATGTGTCTATTGATGGAGTGGCTTGTGGAGTGCCAGGCTTCGATGAACTCATGAGTGTGGCGGATGGTAGCATGGCCAATGATTTTAGTGTTGATCCAATTGAACTGGTGTTGTTTGGTGTTGGTGTGGGTAGAGATTAAGGATTTGGGATCATAGCATTTGACTGCCAGCCAGTGTTTGTGGATCCTGGTTTTTAATTGATGCGATGTTTGTCCCAAGTAGAATTGGTTGCAATGATTACAGTTGTTTTTATAAATTACATTGTTTCTTTCATCCTTCTGTATCTTGTCATTGGTTCTGGATAATTCCTGGCGGAGTGTGGCTGTGGGTTTGTGGGCTATTGCTATTCCCAATGATCCTGACCTGATGTAACCTCCCATCACAAGACCCATCACAAGACTCTCATTGATGATTCACGTCTGACCAATCACAAGACCCTCACTTGACATACCCACATCTGAAGCCCTTATAAACAGAAGAATACTGACACTGACATCCCCTAAACTCTGCTAAAGATGTTACCTGGCCTGGTAACGAAATGTTTGGAAACCACCCACAAGCTCAGAGAATGAGCCTTCACCCTTATCCTAGTCCTGAGCTACATATATTCACCATTATTGCAAACTTTTAAATATTTCAAGCACCTATTACTATGGATTTCCCCAACAATTCTATATGATTGTGATCAGTATTATAGTTCAATATTACTGAGGTAGGATGCAGACTGAGGATTTTGGTAAGAAATTAGCTTATGAATTTATTAAATCTTAGCTCAGCTACTATAATGACCCTTCATTGTCCATAGCCAGCAAAAGCATCTGGAATTTTGTTGAGTGATAAAACGTTGTTTACTGTTTGGCAAGATGAAGAAAAAAAGACAGCTTGCCAAGTGATTACATACAGCTAGGGAACAGGATATCTGTAATAATCAAGTGTGAGAACAAGAGAAATTGTATGAAAAATATATATAACACATATCAAAATGTAAACATTTTATAGATTGTTTTCTATTTCCTCTCTATTGTATTTATTATAAAGCTAGAGGTATTTTAGTTCTAGATAAGATAGTGATATAAAGAAGTATTTAAGCAGAACTCAGAACTTGTGACCAACCAATCTAAATACAGCTGCCAAAGCTTCATTTATTTCCGCCTGAGTCTTTTAAAGCAAGATAATCAAGCACACTAAAAGGACTCATCCTGACAAAGCTCAAAATGAATAGTTTCCTGTATAAACATAATAGGATGACAGAGATCAAACAGTCCTTCCCACATTAAAAATACTAATGAAATAATAGGAACATTCTAAGGGACCTTTGGATGTAATCCCTCTTGCTTCAATTTGGGCTTTTATATTTTTATCATAATTTTGATTTCTTTGATTTACTGTCATTTGTTTGATGTACTCCATCTACTCTTTGCTCTATTCCTGCAATCCTAAAAAGATATACAAACTGAAGAATGAACAAAAGTAGCATTATGGTGTAATGACAATTTTGTGATGCTGATATAATGGGTTAGCACTTGTATTGCAATATCACAATGGTGTTTATGTTATTCTATCCCTCTCCCTCCCCACAAGGATGCCATTATATTAAAAACAAAAATGTATCAAACTCCTAGTATCCCATCATGGGCTACAACTGACTTGCTGGATAACAGTTGTACCTATATTATGTGATTTTATTATGCCAAATGGGGCTTTTATTTTTGCATGGTCATAAGGATTAAGCATATCAAGATTTTTGTATAAAATGTTTTCTATGCAGGATATAAAATAATCATTTTTCTCTGAGAATAGCATTGCTTTGAGTTTCAATTACATGCTAGTCATATGCTTAAAAATTTCAAATGTTTGTTCATACCTGATTGTGGGCTTTGCTTGGTGATTTTGGCATTTGCTGTAGGATTAGAAGTGGGACGTTGACTGGCAGAATTATGGATGCTGTTAGAAAAGGCAGCAGAGATGTTCTTGCGAGGTTTATCCTGCAGCCACATTGGGGAAACTTCAAAAGCCTGCATTCTTCGAGAGTGGCTATTTGCATTGACTTTGAGATAAGCTTGGGCTTTGTATTCTTGAAGGTCTCTGTAATTGGCATCTGTCACTTTGCACTCATACAGTCCTTCATCCTTTCTCCTGACTTTGGAGATCTGCAGCTTGTGGGAAATATCATTCCCCTGTACTTTCACTGTCTGTAAAAATTCCAGAAACATCTCTAAATGTTATTGCTATTAATAGATACCCCTCCATATCTTCCTTTCATGCACCTACATCCAGCTGACAGTGTCCCAAGTCAACTAGAACCAAAGGGGGGAGGGAAGCCTCATTTTCTAACTGTTGCTAGGTTATTGCAGATCTGGGTTGTTGTGTTTCCATGTGTGTTTATGACACTCTGTTGTTTGCCACCTGTTGTAAAGTGCCTTAAGGATGGTTCCACCAAACAGCTGGATTTATATTAAAAATAATTTCAGAGCAAATAAACGAACTATTCTGACAGTATCATAATACAAAATTGATATATGACTTTCCCAATATTTTAGACGTTTCACATATATTTTGCCATACAGCTATGGCAGCACTGTTATCTCTGCATTGTAGGGGCAGAGCGGAAGGGTTCTAAAAGAGGGTGACTTATCTAGGTCATCTGGAGAGTTTCTGAAGAAAATTATGCTCACAAAAGGCAAGAAAAGTGCATTGGAGGCACTTTGTAAGGATTAAGCATAATTAGAATAGGAGCTAAGGTTTTAAGCAGAATGCAGACTGGGCCCAGCACCACCACGGAAATTCCTCAATAGCTAACCCTGGCTACAGACTTAGAACAATCACACACAATTGGCAAAAGCTGCTGATGAATATATTGAAGAAATCAATAATATATGTCATTTTGTGGGCTACTGCAGATTGGAAAATGGACCATACAAGCCTCTGGCATTTAAAATTTTAAATTAAATAAGCTCCTTAAGCTTCCTTTTTCCAAGCAGCTTAAATATTTTTTTCTCTTTCCTTTACATTCTCACAACAATCTAGGGGGAGGGGACAGGAGGAGAGAGAGAGAGAATGGGTGGGTCAAGATCATTCTAATGTCTACTAGGCACATTTGAAAGAATATTTTATTTCTCTTAATTCACACTTAAAACCCTCTGTTTTAAGCCAGAAATGTAACATGATCTACTTCAGTTCAAATAATATTGATCTAAATCCATCTAGCTGCTTATTTGTTTTAAATTCTGACTTTTACTAACTACGCACAATATTTGTTACAATTAATGGGGTTTTAATACCCTTTTAAACTTTGAGCTTATTTAAATTACTAAGATTATTCAATTATCAGCTCACACTGATTGCAAGGGAAGCTAGTGTCCAGCCACTGCCTTTTTATTGAAAACTAAATCTCAGTAATTTTGTGAGATATTTTTTACATTATGCCATTTCTTTTCTGGCTTTTATTTTTGCAACTTGTTGAATATAGAGTCTATGCCACTCACTTCTACTTTATTACCAAGAACTCTGAGATAATAAATCAAGTTTCATTGATCTACCCTTACTGGAATGTAATTGGGGTATATAATGTGTTTTCCCAAAAGTAAGACCTACCCCGAAAATAAGCCCTAGCTTGATTTTAGGGGGTTGGCTTAATATAAGCCATACCCCCAAAATAAGCCCTAGCTTTGGGGCAGGGCACATGCCTAAAAATCAAGCTAGGGCAGGGTGGAGCTTACCACTGCAGCCAGGTCTCCCATGGATCCACCCTTGCTTCACCGGCCCACTTCTTCTGCAGCTGAAGGAGCAGCTTCATTCTGTAGCTGAGAATGGAGCTTGGGCCTGCATTTTGCAGTCAGAGGCCTTTCTGGAAGGCCTCTTCAGCCGAGAACTGAGCTATGGATTTAATCTGTAGCTCAGTTCTCGGCTGCACAGGCCTTCAGGAAAGGTGTCTGATGGTGAAATGCAGGCCCGAGCTCCATTCTCAGCTGCAGAATGAAGCTGCTCCTTTGACTGCAGAAGAAATGGTTGGCTAGGTGGGGCTGTCTGTGCCACCATGGCGAAGTGAGTGGAAAAGACACCCTCCAAAAATAAGACCTGGTGCCTCTTTTGGAGGCCAGAAAAATAAGACCGGGTCTTATTTTCGGGGAAACATGGTACATACTTGCCCAAACACCCATTATCTCATTGCAATCCACTTTCTCAACCTGCCTGTGTGAAGCTTTACTTCTCACAATATTCATCTCTCCTGAACTTAAATTACAAAAATACAGAATGGTGATATACTATGTTGCATTGTGTTATTTTTCTTTAAATTGAAAAAATTGAACTAAGGAAGCTTAGAATTCCATTTTACTGCTGGATCACAATAAGATCAATGTTAGCTGAACAGTCTCTTTCAGTTCTACTCTTGAAAAATTGAGAAGTGATGAACTTGGGGAAGAATAGTAGATGTTGTTGCTGAGGTCAAATTTGTCTTCCACACATTTTCTCTAAGAATTAAGGGTTACTAAATAGCCTTTGGAAATGATGTGATTCTGATTTTGATTATGTGTTTCAGAAGAAAAATTGAGAAAAATCTTATAAAAGAGGGACTGTTTATTAAAGGAAAATAAGATCATTTTGGTGCTGTTAACCTGGTTAAGAATAATTTCAGTAATACTTAAACACAGATTGGATTACAGTCAAATAAATATCTCTATTGGGGATCATTTTGTTTTTTTACCACTTTTCTTTTTATGTTCAATAAAACTCATTTCCCACTCAGAATCCACTATGCATAAGAAAGGGAGGAGTGGAAGAAGATATATCAGAGGTAATAAATAAAGAATTGCACAAGCAGAATAACAGTGGTAGTATAATGACAGAGAAATGAAGGGGAGCTAACCTGCCAGAAAAGATTCCTGCAACATTATCCAAGAAAAATGAAGAGCAAGTCTGATTGCATATAAGTATTTGGAATTGGTCAGCACCAGGTAAAAATGAATTGCATGGATTTTGGTTGAAACATCTGATTAGTCTACACCCACTTGTTGCCAGGCAACTTAACAACATACTGCAAAGAGGTGAAATTGAAGCTTGGCTAACATCTGGCAAAACCTGCTACAGGATAATGAAAGATCCAGGGGCAGTGCCAGACAACTGCAAGACAATTACCTACTTATCTACAACTTTCAAATTGCTAATTGGTGTTCTAGCCAATACAGTCGAACAGCAACAGTTTGAAAACAAACTCTTTCCACCTGAACAGAAGGGAAATCACCCAAATACCAGAAAAATAAAAAAACAACTTCCAATTGACAAGATATTTTGGATAAATTACAAGAGAAGGAAGACCAACTTGAATGTAGTATAGATTGTCTACAAAAAGACACTTGACTCTCTGCTCCATGATTGGATAATCAAGTGCCTAGGAATAATAGGAATCAGCAGAAACTTCAGAAGCTTTGTTCAAAGATGGTTGCTAGATTGGGAGAGGTTAATATCAAGAGAGGAATCTTCCAAGGAGACTTACTTTCACCACCACTGTTCATTATTGCACTGATTCCTCTCTCAACAATACTGAATAATATAAGCCATGATTGTCTAACATTAAAAACATCTGCCAGACTATCCCATCTCTTTTACATGGATGATCTGAAGCTATATGGAAAAACACCATCTGAAATAGAATCATTGCTCACTGCTGTCCTCATATACAGACAAGATATTGCAATGGAATTTGAACTGGACAAATATACTGTACATCATCAAATGGGGGAAAATAGTGCAAACTGAAGGAATCAAGACGCCCTATGGAAATAACATCAAAAGTCTGTATGAAGACGATCACTATAAATACTGGGCATCCTTTGAGCTGACAACATCGAGCACACTGAAGTCAAGAAAAAAGGTTAGAAGTGAATACATCAAGAGAGTGAAGATCTTAAAGTCCAAATTCAATAGAGGAAATATCATCAAAGCAATTAACACCTGGGCAACTCTAGTCATTAGACACACAGCTGGAATAATGGACTGGATTTAAGTGGTAGTAAAAGCTGTGGATAGGAAGACTAGAAAAATGATGACAATGAATCATGCCCTTCATCCTTGAAACAATGTTGACAGACTCTACTTACCAAGGAAAATGGGTGAGCATGGAATATTGCAAGTACATCAAACAGTTGAAGAAGAAAAGGGCATTAGAAAAATATCTGAAGGATAGTGAAGAAGATGTTAATGTACTAAGAAGACTTACCAAGTACTGGAGAGAACAAACTGACTTACAAGAAAGACCAAATAAGGAACAGAAAAGAGGTATGGGAAGACAAAGCATTACATGACCAATACATTAAAAAATAGCAGGCAAGATGATAATAATAAGACCTGGCAATGACTAAGAGCAGAAAAGTTGAGGAGTGAGATTGAGGGGCTTATTATGACTTCACAAGACCAAGTCTTAAGAACAAATGCATCCAAAGCCAGAACTGAGAAGACAGCAACAGACAGCAAGTGCCACCTCTTCAAAGAAGCTGAAGAAACAGCGGATTAGTTAGTTAGCTGTTGCAAGAAGACCACACAGACTGACTATAAACAATGGCATGACAAAGTAGCAACAACAGTGCATTGGAAGATCTACAAGAAATATCATTTATCTGCAAGCAAGAACTGGTGGGACCATAAAATAGAGCAAGTAATAGAACATGAGTTAAAATACTCTGGGACTTCAGGCACCTACCACATAACACCCCAGACTTAACAATTGTTGGTAAGAAAAATAAACATCTGGATAATGAACATGTCAGTACTTGGAGATAGCAGACTAGAAGAGAAAGAACCGGAGAAAATAACAGTATACAAAGACCTGCAAATAGAAATAGAATGACTGTGGCAAAAGAAAGGAAAATTAGTACCAATATTCATAGGCACCTTCGGTGCAATCTCAAAACAATGGGAGTACCACTTGATCATCATGGTGGTGATCAGAAAGCCATGGTTGTGCAGTGGTTAGAAAGCAGTATTGCAGGCTAATTCTGCTAACTGCCGATTGCTAGCAGTTCAGCAGTTCAAATCTTACCAGCTCAAGGTTGACTCAGCCTTCCAATTCTTCTGAGATCGGTAAAATGATGACCCAGATTGTTGGGGACAATATGCTGACTCTGTAAATCACTTAGAGAAGGGACAGTAAAGCACTGTGAAGCGGTATATAAGTGCTATTGCTATTGCTATCACC